TCCCTTGGTACATGCTTTCGAGCACATATCCTTTTCCTCCGGTTGGCGACCCGGCAGTTCGGCTAGTGTGTTCCTCTACTTAAGGACCTGGTCGCTCAGTTTTTCGGTCTCAGTTTCCGGTTCCAAATTCAGTCTTCCTGTAGCACCATCAAAGATCACTGCTACTCCCATCTTGGGACTTGCCAAACGGGTTTTCGGTAATTCCAGTTTTCTGAATTTATTGCGCCAAAGCTCCTATTCGAGATGGTGTGACCAAGATTACAGATATCTGGTAATCTTAATGTTAACCAATACAGATCTAGTTTTTTCAAAATCATTGTTCGTGAAATTTAAACTCTAGACCTGCCATTTGGGGGTGTGCAACTCCACCACTTCACTAAGTCGCCACACCCATCTTTTAATTTTTTATTTAACAATTTATCTATCTACAACTCAACTAGAAACATTTACTTATTATTTTTAATTTACTTAGTAAATTTTACTAATTTTTTATTCAGAATTTGATAAATTTAAAAGATTAAACATTTTGAGAAAATTTTCATCTAAGTATATACTATTAAATTATCCAGATTATCTGAAAATTATTACATATTTTAGATAATTAATAATTTTTACCTGAGTTCTAATTTTTAAACAAATTAATTATATTATTTATATTTTTTATATTAAAATAGTAAATATATATATATATTTATTTTATTTTTTTTTAAATAGTTCTGTTTTTATTCATGTGAACTACTATAGAATATTATACAAAAAGTTGTACTCTATTTCTAAGTATATTGTTCTAATCTAATAAAAACTCACCAGGTATATATATACCCAATATGATCTGCCATAACAACTATTAATCTCTCGCAGGATCCTTAACTTGCTAAGGATTTTGTATTGGATAATGATACTTCCCTTGATCATTAGTAGGCTGTTGTATGCTTTATCAGAACTACCTATTTTCCTTTAAAACTTTTCACACCTAGGTTCAGGCAAAATAGTTTATCTTTTACATTTTTATAAGAGAAGAAAATAAATACCATATTTACAAAAGAAAAAAAAGATTTAGGGAAAGAAAAGAACATATAGAAGAAAAGAAGAAAGAAAGAAAAAAAAAAAGAAGAAGAAAAAAATAGCCTAAAAATAGTTTGATCATAAATAGACAAAGATGAGAAAAGCAAAAAAAAAGATTAGTAATTCTAATATAACAATCTAAGTAGCACTATTATAATCTGTACTAGGGTTAAAAAATTATAAGTATGTATTTAAATACAATAAGTATAAGTAAGACTAAATAGAAAGTATTATATTTTTGATATTTAAATATTAATTATCTATGCTATACAAGAATTTTTAAATATATATATATGTGTATATATATTATAAGTGATTTGTATATAAGATTGGGATTTGTACCTTATTTGGGATTTATACATAGGATTGGGATTTGTACTTTGTTTTGGATTTGTATATAGGATTAGAATTTGTATATAGATTGAGATTTGTATCTTGTTTAAAATTGGGCTATATGCTTTACTAATTTGAGCTTTATATATAAAAGATTTTAACTCATTCAAACTATAGTTAATATCCTAGGAAGTTCTAAAGGGCCAAACTAGTTTGGTATAGATAGCAACTATACTCTAGAGTAATTCCTATAAGCAAGATTATCACTGTGAATTTGTTATTAATAAATATTATTATCTATAAACTATTATTATTTTGAACCATTTGCCTCTTGCTATGAAGTTAAAGTATACACTTCATGTCCACCCATGTATATTTATAAAGTATATCACTGCATTAGGTAACCTTGTTACTTTGCTATATATATTAAAAAGGCTATAGCATTATAACAGTATAAATATAAGTTTTTATTATAAAATATTTATAAAAAATATCATTAATATCATCAAAAAATTTTAAAGTTGTATAACAAAAATATAGTAGTGAATATACAGTATTTTTAGAATATATGATTTATAATCAAATAAAAAATTTTGCTTTGGCCTTTAATACAGAAGATTACCAGTTAATCAGTTTGATAAAAAATTTAATAGAAAAAAACAATTAAAATTTTTGGAGTAAAGATTAATAAATGTCAGGTGCAGTACCTACAAAAGTAAAATTTCGACAGTTTTGATGCTAATTTTCTAAAATTTTTTAGGGAAATTTTGATGTACTATTACAATTATGATTACTATTACTATTCGATTACGATTACTCTTTACCAACATAGTATTTTAAAAACGCGAGGATTGTTTTTCGAGTAGATCATACCAAAAAAGAGTATACATGGCAAGTGTTTTGATGATCTTTGACCGTGGTATTCGCAAGAACCTGCTATAAAAAGAGCTTATGTTACAGGTATACCATTTACCAAGTACAAACTATTACCAAATAGGCAAAACAAAGGAGCAAAATTATAACGATGTTAACGAGAGTCCTACATAAAAACCAATCTTGGTAATTCATGATCGGTATAACCTGGCACAAAACTGACGTGCCTATTTGCTAACCTTTTTTGATATCAGATATACATAACGTAGAAGACAATAATGTGATTATCAAAATAAATCGATTGGAGAATTATTTTGTAAAATTGGGTCGTACAGTCTTTGTACGAGGGTTAATCGTAAAACTTTTCCGTAAAATTTTTTTTTACAATCTAAAAAACTTGACGAACGTGTGTATATTTTAAATATGGTAGACATTGCATTAGATATCGCGGATGAATATATCCTTGATGGCATTTACGCTCGCTTTTATCCAATTTCAATTACAGATAATACTACAACAATTTTACAGAGTTCACTTCCACGTGATAATATTTTCAGACAATTCATATCAATTTTTGTTTTAACAAATTTTTTCGCATATTTTTTTTATTTTTTCTTCTCCACCTTATCTTATATTTTTGTATTTGACAAAGAATTAATGAAACATCCTAAATTTTTGAAAAATCAAATACGTAAAGAAATAACACTTTCTGTTACAGGATTTCCACTCACTAGTTTAGTAACTGTTCCTTGGTTTCTTGGGGAAGTCCGAGGATATTCAAAACTATATGATAATATTAATGATTACGGATTTTTGTATGGAATATTTTCAATTATACTATATTTATTCTTTACCGATATGTGTATTTATTGGATTCATCGATGGCTACACCATCCGTTAATTTATAAAATTTTGCATAAGGTACGTAACCTTATTTTTTATTATTAAAAAGATTGGCTAACAATTTCTAACAAAATTTAAATGTTATTTAGCCTCATCACCGTTGGATTGGTATGTTTCTTTTTTATGAATCTATATATAGATATATATGTACACATATATACGTATACGTGTATACGTATATTTTATATACTAGTTATATCTCGGGCCGTTTAAAAAGTTATATCTCTATTTGATCAAAATGGTTAAAAGCATTATCCGAGTCTGATAAACTTTATTAGTAAATTTTGAGGTTTTGAATGAGGACGAATTTAAATCGGGATATAATTATTTAATTAAATAATTTTTAAAGTGTAATACTTGGCTCTAATAATCTACATTTTTTTCATTATCATATAGTTCCTACACCGTATTCATCTCATGCCTTTCATCCACTAGACGGATATTTGCAATCATGTCCGTATCACCTATTTGTCTATTTATTTCCTTTGCAAAAAATCATTTATATAGGTTTATTCGTGTTTGTTAATCTATGGACAATCATGATTCATGATGGTAAAGTAAAGTTCTCAAAATTTTTATCTTGTTGCTATTATAATTTTTACATATATATATATATTTTTTTTCATTCTGATGACTAATTAATTTTTCGATAATATAGGCGAATATTTATCATCCGGATCATTTATCAATGGTGCGGCACATCATGCACTTCACCATTTGTATTTTAATTATAATTATGGTCAATATTTTACATTATGGGACAAAATTTGTGGAAGTCATCGATTTCCAAGTGAAGAACAATTTGATCGTAATAAGAAACGGGATCAGAAAGTTTGGATTAAACAAGCGATAGAAGTTGATAACTTTGATGAGAATGGAAAAGAAAAAGAGGAATGATTAAAATTAATGTAAGCATTATTTAAAAATTAATTTAATAGTGTATTTATATTGAATTGTATACTCTTTTAAAAACTTATTAAAATTCTCTTGAACTGTGACTAGAGTAAATGAATTATTAATTAAGAAATATCAATATTAACCACTTATTTGAGTTATTACATTTTCCTAATTATACTTAAGAAATTATTAATAAATAAAATTTATCCTATTTTAATTTTGAAAATTACACACCGTGATAAAATCTCTTTGATGCACTTTTTTAGGATTGAGTTAGGATTTTGGTTAATATTAAAAATTGGATTATCAATAGAAGAGTATAAGGAGCTTAAAACGGATGTCCCAAATTTCATTTTAATCCAATTTCATTTTTGATAGATGCCTAATAATTAGTTTACATGACATAACTTCATCTGATTTTTATATGTTACAGGAAAACTAAAATTCATTAATTTTCTCAGCTCGAATTAATTCCACCATTCTCAAAATTAGTTACACTTTGATTTAAAAATAAAGCATAGGAAAAAAAAAAAAAAAAGGCTATAAAAACCAATTATTCGAAAGTTTGATCGTAAATAAATGTTTGAACGATATTGATAAATCATAATTTCGACTAAAGAAAAAATTAAAGGTTTACAATTGCGAAAGAGACGATCCCGATTTACACTAGTGGACTTTATAATAAGTGCTATTGACCTAAAGAACCCATCATAATGAAATTAAGTTTTAACCAACTTACTCAAAATGCGTAATTCAACGTACAGTATTTTCGAAAATTTTAATTTTCCATTAATAAGATATCTATACATTTACGTTTAAAATTTCGTGTGCAAAAAACGATGCATATAATCTTAACAAATAGGCCAATTCCTAAATTCTTACATATATGGGGGTTAATAGAAATGGGACAAATCATTTTTTAGTAACTTTTTAAAATTTAATTAGAATATCTCAACAACCACCAAACCAAATTTGACAAAAATTTTTTTTATTTTAATTCTATAACTCTATGTATCGAATTAAAGCAAAAAAATTTTTATTAAATTTAATTTGGAAGTTGAGATATTTAATTTGAAGTTTAAAAAAATTTAGAAAAAACTTGTTTCATTTTCTATTAACTTTCCCCATATACTTGCTGGCAAAAATCCAAAGGTTTACAAATGTAAATTATTTATTTGAACTAGAGTATGCGAATGGGGGCGGCTTCGCCGCCCGATATCATTATTTAAAATTATTGGTTCTTATTATTCACGTG